GATATCGTGGTGAGCAAGGCTCGTCCCTGCTTTTTTTAGGCTGTCATTGCTGGTGTCAGGGCTCTGGGTATGACCAGAGGTATGTGAACTGACGCAGGGAAACGCAGGCTTCAGATATGTTATAAACAATATAAATTTATTAATACTAACAATACAAAACGCAGTGCAATACTAAAACATAAACACAGTGCAAACGAACCAAACCAAACCACCCACAGATAACAATACATACAATGCAAGCGTAGTCAGGCAGGCCGGGTCAATAACAATCGGGCAGGTAGGAACAGGAGGAGCAGTCAGAGAGTAGTCAGGTCAAGAGCCGGGTACAGCAACTAACGGGCAGGTAGGTACAGGGGGTCAGGCAGAGAATGGTCGGGGTCACAAGCCAGGGATCAAACAGGAGAAGTCAGCAGAGGTCAGGATCAGGCTGGGTCAGCAACAAGTCAGTCAGGCAGGAACAGGAATAGGAACAGGAATGCAGGTAACAAGATACAGGGGCCCATGGAAAAACACACACCAAGGCACAGACTGCAGGTCTGGCCATCCCTTAAATACACCTCCGTAATCAGCTTCAGGTGTTTGGCTGACTGCAGGGTTGAGTCTCTGATTGCTGAGAGCACCCGCTGGCCAGCCCTGGTACTGCAGCCCACAAGGCAGGTGAGTCCCACCATTAGTGGCAAGTCCATTCCTGACAGCTGGGGGTTTATTTACTAAAGCTGGAGAGTGCAAAATCAGACTCACTTCTGCATAGAAACCAATCAGCTTCCAGGTTTCATTGCCAAAGCTTCATTGAACAAGCTGAGGTTAGAAGCTGATTGGTTTCTATGCAGAAGGGAGTCTGATTTTGGACTCTCCAGCTTTAGTAAATAAACCCCCTGGTGTCGGCTAGACACCCTGTTTGTGAGTTAATTTCTGATGTTTTAATAAAACATTTTGGTTTTAAACTTACTGCACCATGATTTCCTTTTTTGATTCCCCGAACATGATCTATGGTATGGAGACGTGATGACTACCTGCTGTTAAGGCTATTCCATATTGTGCTGATTGGCTGCTTGCAGTATATTGCTCCCAGTTTGGATTACTTCTGCTGATCATCGCTCCCAGAGGAAACGCTATTTTTGCTGACTTATAATCTGGTCAGCATGGAGCTCTGGTGAGTGTACCCATTTCATTTCGGTGGTGGAGTTTTTTTTTTTTAGTTTTTTTTTTCACGGTGTTTGATTTATACAAGATTTCAGAACTGTTTAATTACTTTGTGATGGTGGATGGACTTTTATAATATTTTTTTATCACGGACATCATTATTTTAAACTAATAATTTTTGTATTTACTTATATTTAGCGCACTCTTTGATTTATTCACACTTCTTCATCGAGCCATTGAAATACTTTCTCTAACCACACATGCTCTTCCAAGAATCTTCCAAACACAATTATGTTGTCCAGGTAGACCAGGACTTCAGTTAGGTTTATATCCCATACCATACATTCCATCAGACTCTGAAAAGTGTTGGGCGCCCCAGATAGGCCCTGGGGCATACGGTCAAATTAGAAAAACCCCAGTGGGCTAATGAAGGCTGTTTTCTCTATATTTTTAGGGTGCACAGGGATTTGGTAGTATCCACTCTTCAAATCCAAGACGCTGAACCGCATAGCTCCCGACAGGCACTGCAATGCATCTTCAGTTTGCTGAGTAGTGTATTGATAGGGGATAATCTGTTTGTTCAAAGTTCTATAATCAATACACATTCGCAGGGTACCATTCTTCTTCCGCACTACTACAATAGAGGAAGCATAAGGGCTCCTTGACTCTCTGATATTCCCAGCCTTCTTCAACCCCACCAACTGTTCCCTGAGATCCTTTAAGTCCCCCAAAGGGACCCTCTAAGGGAATTCCTGTGAGACAGCTGGCGAATAGAAATGCGCATGCACACAGAAATATCCGGAGAATAGTGACCAGACATGCGCATGCGCACAGAAATGCGCGATCACGCCCGTGCACATGCACGGCGAAGATTGGTGCCAGACAGACTATTTAAAGGGTGCCTCTGCCTGTACTTAGTGCTAAACTCATCTTCAGCTGTCCCCCATGTCCTGCTTGTTCCTGTGTGATTCTCTTATTGCTGACCCGACTTGTTTCTGACTTGACTCTTGATTCCTCTCCTGCTTGATACCCGTTCCTGACCTCGGCTCTGCTCTGCTATGATTTGGTACCTCGCTATCTGCCAGTTGATGACCCCGGCTATTCCTATGACATTGCTCCTGTCTCCCATCCCAGCTTCCTGCCTTGCTCTGGTGCACACCTGGCGATCTACCATACCAGCTTTGCATATCGCTACTGTTCCTGAATCGGTGGTTCATCAGTTTTTTAAGGACTCTAGCTGCAAGTGCTTCAAGCAACATCTACTGGCACTCTTGTCCCTCTGGTCCCTACACACCCGCTGTTCCACTTCCAGTAGGGTCAGGGCTAGTGACACAAGTAAGGCCAAACTCGTCATTTCAGTCTCCTATCAGGTACGTGACGGACCCATCTAGCTCGTTCCCAGAACAGTTTGTTTTCTCAGATTTAATGCTGGGCATTCTTGGCACACCCAATATCATAGTAATTCCTGGAGAACACGTTTTGCCAGCTTATCAGCCTGTGTCTTGCTCTCTGTTTCCATTCTTCTGACAAAGGGGAGTCTTGAAGGCCGAACCCCCTCTGGGTAGGGTCATGAGGTGGCTCCAACATACTGACTGGAGTGGCTACATTCACCAGTCCTAACAGAGCCCTCAGTTTCAGGGTGATGGGGTCAGCTGCATTATTACAGACTCAGACAAGGACGTTACCCCTGTTGTGCTGCAGAGCCTTCGTAGTGATCATTTCTGGAACTACTTCTACCCCATCTGCCCCTCCATTGTTACCCATCGGCAGTATCACAAAGGGTCATGGCTGGTCCCAGCTCAGTTTGACTCAGGATTTTCAGACAGGTGACTGCCCCTGGTTTAAATACTTTCTCCTCTGGCCCATTCTTCTAGATATTCCCCTCTTCTGGAGCCCTCAGCTCCCTGACAACTCTTGACGTAGTTGTGGATGGGTGCTTTCTATGGGCACAGTGTTCTGTTCGGCTAGTGGAATAATACGTCTGCGGACCAGCTTGGAATTGGTCCCAATTAGCAAGGAGCACTGCTGTTTCCCTGAAGGCCTAGAGCAGACTGTCACCAGAGTATCAAAGGTCTTGGTCCCCCCTGTGAGAGTTGGACCGAAGACAGGCGAATGGGATGTAAGCATCATATGGACACTTCTGAGTCCCGATTCCTCAAATTTCTAGCTCTTCTAGCTTCTGTAGGGGTATGTGCTTCAAGTGCTTGCCATAGATGTCCCTATAGAGTAGGGTCACTTGGGCTCCTGTATCCATTAAAGCTTTAGTGTACACTTCCTCCAAATAAATGGAAACCACTGGGGATGGGCCTACCAGCTCATCTGGAAGTTTTTCTGGTTGAGGCTTTTCCCTTCTGATCTGGGCTTTCCCTGGTTGAGTTGCTTGCTTTCTGGGAGTTGGCTTTCCCAGTTTTCTGGAGTGGTGTGTATCAATTCCCTGAGTTGGAGTCCCTGTCAACAGAGTTGGCAGCTGAATTAGCTCTAGTGGACAACTAACAGTGGATGTCTGGGTGGTTTTAATCTCCAGGGTTTATATTCACTGAGTATTTGAGCACACTGCTTTCTTTGGGCCTTCTTAAGTTTTTTACCAGCTTTAGGAAGAACAGCTTCTTTAATGCTTGTATTACTTTGGTAGTAGGGTCTGTCATCAACTCAGTCCATGGGCATTGAACCTGTAAGTATCCTGGCTCCCCATACTGGAAGCAGCACCTGAGGTACTCAGGGCTGGATTTTCCCTTGCCTGCTTCCATCATTGATAGTTTGCCCCCATTCTGAAATGGCCTTCTACATAGCAACATGGGTCTCCACAACTTTGTCCTACTGTCTTCTAGACTTCGCAAAAGGACTGTTGAATAATGGCTTAGGATTGAGCTAGCTGGGACAGGGTCCACGCTATAACAGTAGTAAGAAACAAAGTGAGCGCTCTCCAATATAGCAGCTGATTCACTAAGGTAACCAAATGAAACCCCCAAAGAACAATGCATATGATAAAGTGCAGCGCTAAATATAACAGTCAGAGATATGATCACAGTGGAATCCAAATATAAATAAGTCCATGGGTATATGGTGAGGTAAATCCAGAAATGAGCAGAAATCAATATGCTGGTGCTCTGAAGGAATGATAAAATTGCGCACTTACCAGATGTAAGGTCCAGTATCCAGAGGAAGGGAATCCCTGTGCTGCCCATTCCTTAAAGGATGATCTTCACACACCTACCATGCCTCATACCTGTGTCCTGAGGTGGATATATTAATGCATATACCCTATGCGCATCTGGTAAGTGTGCAATTTTATCATTCCTTTAGAGCACCAGCATATTGATTTCTGCTCATTTCTGCATTTACCTCACCATATACCCACGGACTTATTTATATTTGCATTCCACCGTGATCAAATCTCTGACTGTTATATTTAGCACTGCACTTTATCATATACAGGGTCCAAGCTATACTGTCCATTCCGATGCTCTGCGTATCAGGCACTCCTTCCACAGTCAGAAAAGCTTGAGTAACACATATGCTTTTCATATGGTTTTCAACAGCTTTGAGTACATCACGGAGCCATAAGGATAGCTAACCCTAAGCATTTGTGCAGTTGGGTCTGGGGGTTGAGCCCCCTTCTGCACTTGGGCCAAAAGGGGCTTGCTGGTACTTTCTGATTTCATTCCTCCCTGGACAACCACCTGGTGCACGATTTTGCCCAGCCTTTGCACATAGCCAGACAACTTCTCTCCTTGCTGACATGTGTGTTTAAACATACACTATATTGCCGAAAGTATTGGGACACACTTTTAAATCATTGGATTAGGATGTTTCAATCACCTCCATGGCCCCAGGTGTATAAAACCAAGCACCCAGACATGCAGACTGCTTCTACAAACATTTGTGAAAGAATGGGTGACTCTCAGGAGCTCAGTGAATTCAAGCATGCTACCGTGGTAGGTGGCCACCTGTGCAATAAGTCCATCCGTGAAATTTCCTTGCTACTAAATATTGCACAGTCACCTGTTAGTGGTATTATAACAAATTGGAAGCAACTGGGAACAACAGCAACTCTGCCACGAAGTGGTAGGCCATGTAAAATGACAGAGCGGGGTCAATGCACGCTGAAGTGTACAGTGCGCTGAAGTCGGCAACTGTCTGCAGAGTCAATAGCTAAAGACCTCTAAACTTCATGTGGCCTTCAGATTAGTACAACAGTAGAGAGCTTTATGGTATGGGTTTCCATGGCCGAACAGCTGCATCCAATTCTTACGTCACCAAGTGCAATGCAAAGTGTTGGATGCAGTGGTATAAAGCATGCCGTCACTGGACTCTAGAGCAGTGAAGACGTGTTCTCTGGAGTGGTGAATCACGCTTCTCTGTCTGGAAATCCGATGGATGTGTGTGGGTTTGGCAGCTGCCATGAGAACGGTATTTGCCTGAATGCATTGTGCCAAGTGTAAAGTTTAGTGGATGGGGGATTATGGTGTGGGGTCGCTATTCAGGGGTTAGGCTTGGCCCTTTAGTTCCAGTGAAGGGAACTCTTAAGGCGTCAGCATACCAAGACATTTTGGACAGATTCATGCTTCCAACTTTGTGCGAACAGTTTGGGGATGGCCCCTTCCTGTTCCAACATGACTGAGCACTAGTGCACAAAGCAAGGTCCATAAAGACAAGGATGAGCAAGTTTGGGGTGGAGGAACTTGACTGGCCTGCACAGTCCTGACCTTAACCCTATAGAACGCCTTTGGGATAAATTAGGGTGGAGACTGTGAGCCAAGCCTTCTCGTCCGATTTCGGTGCCTGACCTCACAAATGCGCTTCTGGAAGAATGGTCAAACATTCCCATAGACACACTTCTAAACCTTGTGGACAGCCTTCCTAGAAGAGCTGAAACACAATATCATAGGCAAGAGTATGTAAGCTCTCCACTACTCTCTGTCTCTTCATGGCATCTGCCACTTCCCACTCTTCTGTGGCTTGCAGGGCTTGATCAACCAAGGTGTCAAAGTCGTCCTCCCCCCGGAGGGGTAGTTGTTTTGCCAGAGAAGACTCTGTCTCCACTAGTTTTGACTGGTAATAGAAGTAGAGTTCTTCAGTAGTCTCTATAAACTTCACCTGTTTGGCCAGTGTAGTATGCCCCCAACAGTGATTAATCAGGTGGATGGTTCAGGCTCAAGGGTACCTTTCTTTGGATTCTTTGTGCCGTCCTCAACGGAGCCTGGGTGTGACAACTGTGCCATCACTGTGTCAGACAGGTGTATACTTTCTTCTTCAGGTAAATGAGGAACTCCTTTTTTCCATTCGGTCAGCACTAACACATTGGATGCATCAGAACTGCCTCATATCTAGGACACTCACTCCCTGTTCAGGGATGCAAGTCATCAGCATCTGCTCAATCTGCCCTTCGGTCCAATCATCTCCGGGAAGACTCAGCACCACACATTGATCTGGTCTTCAGTTCTCTTCTTGGCACCATGCAGTGATCTCAGAGGGTTCCATGCTTCCTTCTTGGGGTTCACAGATTATCTGGACAGGGATATCCTGGACGAGCCCCCTTAGGGTCCCCTTAGGGTCACTGAGTTATTTTTGGGCTTCTTGTCACTCTTGATCCCACTTTTAAAGCCCAACCCCTACTGACAACACCGTATACTTCTGGTCAGAGTAAACTCTCTCAATATTACCAGAAAATACTCACAGACCAGTTAGTCAACTGATACTTTCTCTATATTAGAGCCGAGCAAGTGCACAGTAAAGTAGCAAAAAATTATAGACACGTGAATAATAACCATTATTACTGTTTGTAACTGTAAGCAAAGGCCAACACATTCAGCAAAAATCTTAATCAGTTCTGGATGTCCTGCAAATCAAAATCCAACCAAGGGCCTCAACTCTGAGATGTTTCTGTCCCCAGTGAGCAAAGGAGAAACTGCCAAGGAATAAGGCTGGCTCACTTTGGGCCCTCAAAAGCTGATGACAAGGTTCAAATCTAAGATGAAGAAAGAGCTCATTAATTAGGAAGGCTAAAGTCCCTTTAACTGCAGTGAAAGATCTGTATGCTTGTTGGGGCCCAGTTGGTGCACTACAAGAATTCAAATCTCCTCGGTTGCAACAGGTGGAAGTCCCCCAAAAGGATTTATGCAAACACAGGCACATCCCTTTAAATGTCAACGCCTATGGTAGTGAGCTCTATAGATCCACAGCTTGGTGTACCCCAGGGCATGGAGTCTAAGCCCCAGCTTGTTCACCAGGGCCCCTGATGGTGGGGATGGACTTGCAGCAGGCTGGGACCAGGTTGTGGCCCCCAGGTACACCAAGCTGAGGTGAAGGAGACCGCTAGCGGGAGCAGGGTACTATGGGAGAAGACACAGGGAATCCAATGGGCAAGCCGAGGTCAGCACAGGCAGAAAACAAGCAAGGTCAGGAATGAAGCCGGGGTCGGTACACAGATAGACAACACAGGATTCACAGTGGAAACACATGGGAGCTCAAACAACAAGAAGTTGCTCAGGCAAAGTGGAACAGACTGAGCATGTCTTAAATAAACAAGCCAGCTAGGAGGTAGGCCAGGGAGTGATTGAAGGGAAGGACATAAAACCCAGAGGATAGCAGATGACGCCCACAGGTGAACACAGACAAACACACATGTGAAGGAATCAAGAGCAGCAAGGAGGTAAGAAAAAACACACAAGAGGCTGCAGGCTACTTTGTGACATTAAGTGGTATTTAACGTGTACCCCCTTTAAGGCACAAGATGAAATGCAGTTTTTAAGCAAAGGTTTAAGGGGTGGGCTGAGGCAATTGTTAACAATGGCTTAATTCCTCTCTAGGCTGCAGTAGTATATGGCAACAGTGAAAAGTGTCCCTTGATGAATGTAAGCTAATTGCAGAGGAAACAGTGCTCTGATGACTGGATTATGCTGGAGATGTGTTTGCTAATAGGCCAGATGAACTAGGCCTTTTAGCAACTGGTGAACAATGTCAATAACTGTATAGAGAATGACTGATTCAAGAGAATGTCAGTTGACAACTTAATTGGCTGGAGATTGGGACTCTCTCACCCGATCTGTGGCATCATCCAGGGCGCTGGTGGTTTCACTGCAGATTAGGGCCCCCAGTGGTTCCGCTGTTCCTCCTGTAGCTTTCGTTCCTGACTGTATAACTCCAGGTCACTGACCGACAGGGCAGCTCTCCAGATTCTTTGGCAGTGGTCGGCTGTTCCTTCCTCTTTCTCCGCTCGCTCTCTTCTCTCTGAAGCCTTGCCTGGTCCTCCGACGTTATGCACAGCTGTTTTCTCACACTTTCCTTCCAGCTCTCTCCCAGCTCACTTCCTGCCTCTGTTCCCGGGCTTCTACATTTATATGTCTCCACCCACATGCCAGCTCTTCTGGGAAATGTAGTTGCCCAGTTAGCAGCCTTCCAACAAAGTCCTGCCTATAAAATCCATAAAGCTTTTCAGCAGGATGTGTGTCACTGAGTTGCAGGACACTGCCACCTTGTGTCTCTTTTAACATCCAGTATTCTGAATAACAGCAGGGTGTTACATAAACAAAGGGCCAGTTTACTGTTCTTCAGACTTTGAGGGGGCTGGACTGTGGCTAATGAGAGTAGAAAATGCCCTATCATCTCTCCTAAACAACTCTCCATCCTTGGTATTAGCGGGAGGAATATTGTCCTACTGATGGTATCAGGGGAAGGAATAGTGCCCCATCATTGGTGTTAGTGGTAGGAATAGTGCCCCATTGGGGGGTCATTGGTAGGAAAAGTGCCCTATTGTTGGTATCAATGACAGGAATTACGCTCCATTGTTGGTGTCAGTGGGAGGAACAGTGTCTTGTATTAGTGGGAGGATTAGTGCACCAAGGGCCAGTTAAAAGCAAGCAAAGGGCCACATCCAACCCCCTGGCCGCATCTTAGAGGCCACTGGACTAGACTAGAGATATGTGTTACCCTTGAAGTTTTTTTATCTACAACATCTTGTGTCTAACAACTGTAAGGGAAACAGACCTATATTTGATCAGGAACCGAACACAAGACCATATTCATAAAACTGTACTGATCTCAATGTCCTCATTGAGTTCCTTTGGTATCATGCTATCCAGTGTAAAAATCCAATAGGTTTCTCTGCCACATAACCTATCAAATTTTTCTCTCCCTGTCAATTGGGGAGAGATTACCTCAATGCCAAACAATTTTACCACCTCCTGCCCACCATATAGTAATATGAAGGTGATTCTCTCGTTCTGGGAGGACGTCATAAGACGTCCTCCCATTCTCACTGCGCTGCGCGGCTCAGGGAGCGCGCAACGCGGTGATGGGTGGTGCACTGTGTCCCTCGGACACAGCGGATCACCAATCACGGAAAGAGCCGAAGATGTCGGCTCGGTCATGTGATCATCTGTGTCCAATCACAGCTGATCACATGTAAACAGGGAAATGCCGGTTATCGACATTTCTCTCCTTTCGAGCTGTCACGCTGACAGCTCGAGAGGAGAGGAGAGCCGGTAATCGGCTTTCCGCGGAGGGAATATGTACACTGATCATCTGGGCACTGATGATCAGTGTAGCCCCAGCAGTGCCACCTGTCAGTGTCCATCAGTGCCTTATGTCAGTGCTCATTAGTGCCTCGTGCCAGTGCCCATCAGTGCCACATATCAGTGCCTACCAGTGCACATCAATGCCACATATCAGTGCCCATCTGAGCTGCCTTTCAGTGTCACCCATCAGTGCCAGTCAGTGCCACCTATCAATGCCTATCAGTGCTGCCAATCAGTTGCACCTATCAGTGCCAGTCAGTGCCACCTATCAGTGCCAGTCAGTGCTGCATATCAGTGCCAGTCAGTGCCGCCTATCAGTGCCAGTCAGTGCCGCCTATCGGTGCCATGTATCAGTGCTGCCTTTCAGTGCCCATCAGTGATGCCTGTCAATGCCCATCAGTGCCACCTGCCAGTGCCTCCTCATCAGTGCCCATCAGTGCCACCTATCAGTGTCCATCAGTGCATCCTATCAGTGCCCATCAGTGCAGCCTCATTAGCGCACATCAGTGAAGGAGAAAAATCACTTATTTCCAAAATGTTATAACAAAAACTAAGAAAAAAACATTTTTTTTTCAAAATTTTCAGTGGTTTTTGGTTTCTTTAAGAAAAAATAAAAAACCCAGAGTTGATTAAATACCACCAAAATTAAGCTCTATCTGTCACAAAAAAAATGATAAAAATTTCATATGGGTACAGTGTTGTATGACCGTGCAATTGTCATTCAAAGTGCGACAGCACTGAAAGCTGGAAATTGGCCTGAGCAGGAAGGGGGTATAAGTGTCCTGTAGGCTAGTGGTTAAATCACAAATGCTGTTATTGTGATGACGGACAAAGTGTTGGGGGACACTATGCTCTGTGTCACTGTCTTCAGGTAACCCTGGTTCATTGCCCAAAATCACTCTCCCCACACAGACCACAGCAGCAACTTAAAGTGTTACTTGATCCACAACAGTAAAATCAGTCTGTATATTTAGTAAAGCATGCTTGTTATACTCACTGTAGAACCTAAGGGGGTTAATCCTCCATCTTGTGTAAAAGGCGGCTTGATCCTGACTTCTTTGATCTTCTCCTTCTATTGTCTGCAATTCATATGTTGATATTACAGAGCTCTAGGAGTCACTCTGCACATGCTCAGTTTAGTGTGTGTTGCTAGAGAGTTTTTTTTTTTTTTTCTTTGGGAGGGTGCATGTAATTAGTACAGGGCCAATAAGCACTGTCCAGACAAAGGGCCAGGGGTCCTGCAGCCTCATAGGACAGTCAGATCAGAATGAAAACAGCTCCTTCAAGCTTTAACTAGTGCTCAGCTAGACACTGATAGAAGTCATAAGACTGCTATATACTGCTGATGAGAAAAGGTATTTAGTACTATATATTTACTAAAATAATTGCATTTCCATATTGTGTGTACTGTGGGAGACCAGAAATAGTAAATGCAGGATCATGGGTTTAGTAACACTTTAACCTGATCTCCATGGACTGTGTAGGTGAAGTAATAAATTGCTTGGTGGAATATTCCTTACCATCAAAGCAAAAAAAGTTTGGGGTTTTTTTTGTCCCACGGGTAATGAACTGTCATGCTTTGCAATTTTGTTTTCCTACATGAGTAAGGGCCCCTGATGTCCAAAAATGTGGGCATGTCTCTGGTAGGTGCTAATTTATTCTAAATATTTTTGCTTTCCTAAAGACTACCTGAGCTTTTTTGGGCAAAATGTTCTCTAGCTTAGGCTCTTTTAAGAGAATAGGTCAATGCTTTCTAAGGATTTTCTCTATCGCCTAGGAACAATTGAGTACTGTCTGGGATACTTTTTTTTTTTGCACTAACATACAAATTTGAGGACAAGCTTTCGGGGAATGTCCCCTTCTTCAGGTCTAAGCAGTACTCTATCGCCTAGAATCATTAATTGATATTGGTGATGAAGGTGACGCTGTTGTTTTGTTCTTCTTGATTCTCTGATGAAACTGTATTGTCCATAGTCCTTTTTTTCACAAGCTGAATTAAAAAGATTTTTATTGTACACACACCTTTTCTAGAAATTTCGTCTTCAAAATAATGCTTTGCTTTCCTCATAATCCTGGTCAGTGTGCTATTCAGTCATAGCCCCTGCAACTGGCTAGGCAGAATATTATTTTTCCATTAGGGGTGGTGACAACTCTTCCAGTGTAGGAGTAACCTGCAACCTGTTTAAAATATGTCTTGGACCAGATGTTACCTGTACCATCTGAGGTAATTCAAGGTCCAAAAACACAAGGGAATCTGGATCCAGCATCAAATTTTTCTATGTGGTGGACCCAGATTCCCTTTTGTTTTTGGACCTTATTAACTGGTTGCCGACCAGCCACAGTGTTTTTACTGAGGCAGGGTGGCACCTCTGCGCAGAACGCCATTTTTAAACGGCGCTCTGCAAAACAGGGGGCATGCGCGAGGCGGGGGCCCGCCCTACCCGTCCCACCGATCATGGCAGTGGGTGTCCATCACCGGGTCCCGGCCGGTCATTACCCAGCGATTACCGGCAATCACTGACAGGGAGCATGGCTGCAGTGTTTACACTGCAAGTCTGCTCTCTGTCAGTTCCGAGCACACGCTGATCCTGAGAGAAGAGTTTATCTCAAGATCAGCGTGTTCCTGTGAAGTACACACCCCCGCCCCCTAGTAAAACACTCCCCTCACACAGTTAACCCTTTCATTACCTTAAAAAAAATGTTAACCCCTTCTTCCCCAGTGCCATTAGTACAGTATCAGTGGTTTTTTTTGCATTGATCACTGTATTGGTGTCACTGGGGATGTCAGTGACCCCAAATCAGTTCCCCCCAGTGTCAAAATGTCCGCCGTAGTCCCGCCATAAGTCGCTGATCACTGTCATAAATCGCTGATCACTGCCATAAGTCGCTGATCGCCGCCATTATTAGTATAATAAAAAAAATCCCAGTATCTTTCCGGCCATTTGTACAGTTGCAAGAAAAAGTATGTGAACCCCTTGGGATTACGTGGAGTTTTGCATGAATTTGGCACAAAATGTGCTCTGAACGTCATCTAAGTCACAACAATAGAAGAACACAGTCTGCTGAACATAATACTACACAAACATTAGATGTTGCCATGGTTTAATTGCACATAACCTGTAAACATTCACAGTGCAGGGAGGAAAAAGTATGTGAACCTTTGGACTTAATAACTGTTTGACCCTCCTTTGGCAGCAATAACCTCAACCAAACGTTTCCTGTAGTTGCAGATCAGATCTGCACAACGATCTGGAGTAATTTTGGACCACTCCTCTTCACAAAACTGTTTCAGTGCAGCAATATTCTTGGGATGTCTGGTGTGAATCGCTCTCTTAAGGTCATGCCACAGCATTTCAATCGGGTTGAGGTCAGGACTCTGACTGGGCCACTCCAGAAGGTGTATTCTGTGCTGTTGCAGCCATTGTTTTGTTGAATTACTTGTATGCTTTGGGTCATTGTCCTGTTGCATCACCCATCCTCTGCGGAGCTTCAGTTGGCGGACAGATGGTCGTACGTTTTCCTGCAAAATGTCTTGATAAACTCTGGAATTCATTTTCCCATCAATGACCACAATCCGTCCAGGCCCTGAGGCAGCAAAGCAGCCCCAAACCATGATGCTCCCTCCGTCATGTTTTACAGTGGGGATGAGGTTTTGATGTTGGTGTGCTGTGCCTTTTTTTCTCCACAAATAGTGTTGTGTGTTCTTCCCAAATAACTCAATCTTGGTTTCATCTGTCCACAGTATATTTTGCCAGTAGTGCTATGGGATATCCAGGTGCTCTTTTGCAAACTTCAAACTCGCTGCAATATTCTTTTTGGACAGCAATGGCTTCCTCCATGGTGTCCTCCAATGTATTCCATTCTTGTTTAATGTTTTCCTTATTGTAGATGTGTCAACAAAAATGTTAGCATGTGCCAGAGATTTCTGTAGGTCTTTAGCTGACACTCTGGGATTCTTCTTTACCTCATGCAGCATTCTGCGCTGTGCTCTTGCAGTTATTTTTACAGGACAACCATGCCTAGGGAGAGTAGCAACAGTGCTAAACTTTCTCCATTTGTAGACAATCTGTCTTACCGTGGACACATGAACATCAAGGCTTTTGGAGATACTTTTGTAACCCTTTCCAGCTTCATGAAAGTCAATAACTCTTGATCGTAGGTCTCCTGAGAGCTCTTTTCTGCGAGGCATGGTTCACATCAGACAGTACTTCTTGCAACCAGTGAACCCAAAACAGGTGTGTGTTTTTTAAGGGCAGGACAGCTGTCAACAATCCATCTAATATCATCACACTGATTGGAGTCAAGGTTGGCTCACTCCTGGCTCCAATTAGCTCTGGGAGAAGTCATTAAGCTAGGGCCTCACATACTTTTTCCTCCCTGCACTGTGAATGTTTACATGTTATGTGCAATTAAACCATGGCAACATCTAATGTTTGTGTAGTATTATGTTCAGCAGACTGTGTTCTTGAATTGTTGTGACTTAGATGACGTTCAGAGCACATTTTATGCCCAATTCATGCAAAACTCCACATAATTCCAAGGGGTTCACATACGTTTTCTTGCAACTGTAGATGCTATAACTTTCACGTAAACCGATTAATTTACACGTATTGGGATTTTTTTTTAACAAAGACATATCGAAGAATACATTTTGGCAGAAATTTATGACTAAATTTGATTTTTACATTTTTTTACTGGACATGTTTTATGGCAAAAAGTCCAAAAAATTGTTTTTTTTTTCTCAAAATTGTCAGCCTTTTTTTTTTATAGTGCAAAAATTTTAAAACGCACAGGCGATCAAATACCACCAAAAGAAAGCTCAATTTGTGGGAAAAAAAGGATGTAAATTTAATTTGGGTGCAGTGTTGCATGACCGCGCAATTGTCAGTTAAAGTAACGCAGCGATGTAACACGAACCGCTTCTGTAACCGCTTCCTGACCGCCCTATAGCAGAAATACTGCTACAGGGTGGCACGGTGCGCAAAATCACATATATATACGTGATTCGCGCTCCCGTGGTTTTCACGCCCCTCCCAGACAGCGTCAGATTGCCCATCAGTACACCAGTCATCACATTTAACCCCTTGATTGCCAGGAACACGCTCATGCACAATAAACCTCCATTGCTAGTATAGTGTCTGAACGGGTCAATATCTTTGATCAGATCAGCACTATACCAGCGTTCACATTAGTATAGCGTCCCCAAAAATGCAGCATTAGAGGGATCAGCCCCGGCACCTGCCAGCACCTGCATTTAGCCCCTACGCTTACCCCCCCCTTCTCCCCCAGCAAGTGCAGTGCCAGTAGGTCACTGTCACTTGATACATTGCACACAAAATCGCAGTGTTTGCAGAATCAGGACTGATCTCTGTTAGCACTTGCCGGTAAATTTTGATGACTCTCATATGCAGCAGAGTGCCAGTACTGGTGCCACTCTACCTTTTGGTGAACTGGCGAGTACCAGTACATCTTGGTCTTTCACATATCTCCTTGATTTTTGGAGCTGTTTTTCGTGGAATATCTGTATGCGTTGATTGTGGATCAAAGCAATTTACATGCACAACAATTTATCGCCGCCAACCCAAATTCAAACCTTGCCAAACAATTCGCATGG